AGGACTATGCCGAGATGGCCGTCAAGGCTCTCCAGCCCGACGGGAAAGTCGTCATTTTCTTCCCGTCCATCACGCAGATCCTCGACTTTGTCACCTGGGCAAAGGACACGGAACAGCCGCTGGTGCAGGACCGCGTCGTAGAGCTGCAGACGTCGACGTCGGGTGATGACATGTTCCAGGACGGCACGGGCGGTCGGAACTGGGATGTTAAGGTTGTGGCTATTCGCAAGGCGATTGAGAGGGGCGAGACGGGCGCGGCGGCGAGGGGGATCGTTTGCCGGCCCAAGGTTGGGTCGCGGGTTGTTGGGGGTGGCTTCGTTGCGGTCTTTACCAAGTTGCCTCAGACGGCTGCCAAGCTGGAGGAGAACACGGATGAGGTGGCACCTGTCCCAGAGACTACAACTATCTCTGAGATTGCATCTGTGTCTGAGGTTGAGTTGTTGCCTGAGACTGAGGCATTGTCTGGAAAGGAAGCGCCAGCAAGCTCATAGAAGTGAAATTATCAGCGCGGAAGCCATGAAGGAGAAGAGCGCAAGCTAGTGGGGTCTTCATACCTCCTCCGCCTGCTCTTCCTGTAGGATGTTTTTACGATGATTGTATATATAATGGTAGTCTTGATACACCGCATAGAGAAAAGAAACAGACATAGACAACTTCCGCCATAAGCAGAACAGAGATTGGTTCATTCATGTCAACTTCGGTAAAGTGGAAGAGCAAAAGATCGTGGAAGCCGACCAATCCTCGAGATGGATCTTGATCCCTCACAAGCTTGAGGACATGTAGATAAAACAAAAAACATACAACACCAAGTATTCGCTGGTCGTCACCGACCCAACTACTAATCCGGCCCTCATTGGCTTATCTATGGGAGAGCGGACGGGATCCCGAGTTTTCCAATGGGTATGGTCGTATGTGACAGCTTGACGAAGCCAAGTTGATTATATCGTGACTAGAACGCAAACGACCTTCCAGCCCATCGCAGAGCTGTTCCCAGTGCACAATGACTATCATTTCTAGTTCTCGTTCGATCCTCACTGAGATGGTCGTTTCAATATGACTGTAAGAAGTGAAGTTTTTCTGCGCTGACAAGCACTACATGGTGTCGCGAAGTAAATATCCCAATTATTTAGGGTTCACATGGTGGTGTTGGAGATCACAGTGCAAATACAGTGCGCATTCGTATCTCGGCACGAATCCCTCTACTCCACACTCCATGGCGTTTACATCTCCAACCTCACTCGATCAACTTCAAGCAACATTCTCACCCAGCTAGAACGATCCTCACTGGAAACTTACAAAATGGCTCCTATGAGTATCGCCACGCAGCTCTCCATTCCGTTGCCCCGCTCCCTCGATACCCGCATCCATATCCACCTGAGCACCAAGGCCAAGGTGGCAACCCTCTTCCTGACCTCAGTGACGCAAGACGAACAGTCGGGACCGGCAGCACTTGGCTCGTTTGTATACGCATTGCCAAACGTATTTTCCATCCCACATACCACCAAAACTGACAAACTTATCAATACGACCTTTTGTTTACTGACACACGCATACAGAGACTTGAGCCGGCTCAGCCCGTCTCAACGGCCATTTACTCGGTGGAGTCAACGCTGGAGTTCACGACGAGGATGGCCAAGCTGCTAGCCAAGAGGGCCAACATGCCCGTTTACGTCGGCTGCTCCATCAATCTCGGCGGCGCGGCCATGAGTCTCTCGGTGGAGGAGGAGATGGAGGCGTTCCGGGCCATCGTCGACGTCGTCACAGCGAAGCTCAAGGGAGAGCCCTTGGTGGACGGTGCCTGAACACACCCAGCTCGCAGTAACAATTTTATGGCTCAAGGGATGCTGGCCTATAGATTTGCGTCACACAGTTCATTTCCGCCCGTGTCTACCGCATTTGTCGATCGCCACTTGCGATCTTTGAAGGGAGCGGGAGCGGGAGCGGGAGCGAAAGGGGCGAGGCCTCGCTGCTTGCAACTTCCTGGAGCGGATGGGTGACAGTCACACAGGGCTTAGGGAGTGAACATGCGGCGTGCCGGGCTCATGAGGGGGCCCCGGTGTCTGGAGGCGGCGGACCGAGGGATGAACGCCCACTTGTGGCTTCGGGCTGTTCAACTGCAAGAAGGAGGGAGAGGCACATCATCACGAACCGGCGAGAAGTCTGCACGGCGCGACGGATGTTATCGAGACAACAGCTATACCCAACGTCATAGACAACAAGGACCTTCATCTCCAATTCTCCGAGGTTGCTATGACAGCGTGCGCAAATAATGCAAATGACCTAGATGGGACGTTCGGCAGGCGACATCTCGGACCATGGCGCCCGGTGTTTTCGAAGTTTGTGTTCTTGTTCTGATCTCATGTCACTGATTTTCGTGGTCGACGTTTTGGCTTCCTTCTGGAATCTCTGGAATGTGCTTGCTGTCCGAGTCTAGAACGTGGCTAAGACGCGCCCGAGCAATCTGAGCTCTTGTCGTCCGTTGATTTCCGCCACATGGATGTTGATTAAGATTGTTTTGTCTTGTTTCGTGGTAGAAGTTCGGCTCATGTCTTCTTTTCTTGCGGAAGAACAACTTTGAAGAATTGAGGTACGGATGCGCTCTGACGGGTGTCACCGGATCTGCACGTAATACCTTGAACCTGGGAACCTCGAGCTGAAGAGCGGCAAACTTCGTTGAGTCGGCCGCAAATCGACGGTGATGACTCGCGAAGGCGACAAGTCTGGGAACCTGTGCGACCTAGCATTCTCCTTTTGACAACTCCCCCGTCAGGACTGAGAGAGGTTTGACGTCTTGACGGCTTGCGATTATAAAGTCCACCTTCGAAAGGGGGGCGGATACTGGGCGGAAACCCCCTTGCGGCGTCAGGTTGAGCCCTCGGGGTTTGATCCTCGTCTCCTTGCCCCCGATCTAAGGATTCAACAGACCCAGAGTTGTCGAGAGGACAGTATTCGTTACGATTGGCAATTAGGAGGGAATCTTGTCACTTGCGGTGTGCACGAAAGAAAGGTTTCCTCTGTGCGACGTTTGTGGAGTCCCACCGCATTTTCTGGCAACGTTGGGAAAAAAAAAAAAGATGCAAGCAAATGCCCGTACTCAAGGGGTTGACCGTTGCAGGGATCGGCCAACTTGTGTTTTCCTATGTGTTCCGTGCCCGTTGTCCAAGTCTCTCTCTACCTTGCCGAAGATCATGTACTAGTTCAAAATACTCAACTCAATCCTATCTAAGATACCTTCAGGTAGACTTGAGGTATTGGGGTACTTCCTACCTACTGTTCACTCTCGAGGCAAGTAGGGCCTGGCCAAATACCTAGAAGATCCAAGAAGCTTTCCTTTGAATTCCAGCGCACGGCAAGAGCAAGAGTGACCCACGTGCTGTCTGAGATAAAAGTGAACCCTGGCAGGAACGACAGACTTTATCGACATGGCGTGGTGGGGGAGAAAGAGCCTGCCCCATCTGGTCGACGCAGGAGGAACGAGGGGTAGAAAGGAGCACGAGCCATAGGGACTGCAACTCCGTGAAGTACCTAGAGAAAGTATCCAAATGTCCACAAGTCCCATCATCCATGAGGTGAGCTCAGGATTTTTTTCTCCTCATGGTGGGCAGCAGTGCAGCTGTGGAAGGACCTGGACTGGACGGACTGTGAGACCGACACATATTGGCGGAAGGGCCGACCAGCAGGACCACCTTTTACACCTTCCCTCTGCCGTTTGCAACCGTCTTGATCCTCACGTCCGTCACCGTCACCGTATTGTTTCCCGGTTTCTAACTGTCTGCCAGTTTCGACTTCTTCCATCCATTCCATCGGATTTCTCCTGATTCCGTCCTTAGAATCGCCCCTGCCTCTCCAAACCCCAACCCCATTCATATGCCCACTTGACAAGTTGTGAACTTCAATTTCACAGTCTGTTTTCCTCAGCATCAAATGGTGAATAAGGTATATGCACCCCCATAGGTGTTTAGATGCTGGGGACAACGAGGAAACGCTTATGATTAGCAAGGAGAGGACAGACAGTCGATACGCATGTGTTCTTTTACACGACACTGATACGCAAATGACAGCACAACACATTAAACTTTGGTATTTTCATCGCCACAACTGTTGGGATGGGAAGACCTCAGATACCTCAGAGGAGAGGGTACGGACTGGCTGAAATTAGTACTTCCCGCGCCTCTCACTCGCACATGTGCATCAGAGGTGCCTCTGCCTCTTCCCCCTCTTCACCACCTCCTTCCTTGCCTGCCTCACCTGCTCAGGTCATTCAAACGGAGAACAGACGCCTCAAACTGTCCATCTCTCTCTCTCTCTCTCTCTCTCACACACACACACGCACAGAAAGCAGCCATCTGGGGGTCAAGACGCCTAGGTACATTTACCTGCCTCTGTATCAAGGTAACATACCACTGAGCTGCCCGTGAAGTGAAAGGTGCAGTGCGGCGTGCCCTCGCTACGGTCTACCTGACCTTACTGAGTACCGTACTGGATGGGCCCAGATGCGCTACGACGGACCACTAGCGCTGCGACTCTGGACTTTGGACCGGGGACCTTCAACTGATCCCACCTCTGCGCGAGGTACCTTCTCTCAAGTCGCAACTGCTCTTCTCTGCCCGCTTAAAATACCACGTCCAAGGTACCGTTAGGAGGCGGTCTCGTCCAGAGGTACCTTGCCTATTACCCGCTACTCCGCCGCACCATAGTTATCGCGAAAAAAAAGCTGACAGGCCGACCCCACCATTTCATCAGTCAGTGTGTTGCCAGTCGCCAATGTCAACGCCCACTGCCCTTACTACCGACCGTGGCCCTGGCCGAACAACTTCAACGACTGCCCCTCTCTACCTTACCCTCCCGCCGTGCTCGACAACCACCCGACCGACCGACCTCACATCATCGCTCCGTCGCTCGAATCCTCCCCCGATTCTCGACCACCTGACAAGTCGCCAACCTCTATTTTTTTTTGTTCAACTCTTCTTTTTCCAAATTATCCCCAGATAGGCGCCAGTCATGGCCTGGCAGCCGGCCCCAGAGTCCTTGAGCCAGCTGGCTGCTTGCCTCAAGGACTCGCTCAGCGGATTCGACAAGAATGCGCAGAAGCAGGCAGAGATCGTGAGTTGCCCACCATTCGTCCCGCTTGCCCCTTGCGACACTTACTAACTGCCATTGATGCGCAGATGCTCACGCAGGCCAAGGCCTCTCCCGACTTCAACAACTATCTCGCATACCTTTTCTCCAGCGCCGATCCGCCCCAGGGTGTACAATGCTCTGCCCAAGACTTCCACCTCGTGCGCTCTGCTGCTGCCATCATGCTGAAGAATAATGTGCGCACCAACTACAAGCAGATTCCCGAGAGCAGCTTGGCCCTCATCAAGATGGCCATTCCCCTCGGTATCCAGGACAAGAACTCCCAGGTCCGTAATTACGCCGGCAACATCGCGACCGAGATCATCAGGAGAGGCGGTATCTTGAGCTGGCCTGAGTTGCTCCCCCAGCTGCTCAGTCTCATTTCCAACGAGAACGGCCAGGTTTCCAACGAGGGCCAGGAGGGCGCAATGTCCGCCATGGCCAAGATTTGCGAGGACAACGTCAAGGTTCTGGAGCGTGAGCACAACGGCCAACGCCCCCTGAACTTTTTGCTCCCCAAGTTTATCGAGGCCACTAAGAGCGAGCTGCCCAAGGTCCGCGCAAAGGCCCTGACTGCCATCAACGTCTTCACTCCGCGCAAGTCTCAGGCGATGCTCAACAACATTGACAGCCTGCTGAACCACCTCTTTACCTTGGCTGGCGACCAGCACCCCGATGTGCGCCGCCAGGTGTGCCACGCCTTCGTCCAGCTAGTCGAGACCCGCCCAGACAAGCTGCAGCCCCACATTGCTGGCCTCGTCGACTACATCATCACCCAGCAGAAGAGTGATGACGAAGATCTAGCATGCGAGGCTGCCGAGTTTTGGCTGGCCGTGGGCGAGCATGAGGACCTGTGGCGCTCCCTGACGCCATACCTCGACAAGATCATCCCCGTATTGCTGGAGTGCATGGTCTACAGTGGGGAGGACATTGCCCTTCTCGGTGGTGCATCAGACGACGAGGAAGAAGAAGACCGCGAGGAGGACATCAAGCCGCAATTCGCCAAGAAGTCGGCGGCCAGGGGTAAGGGTGGCGAGGCCTCAGCCGATACTGCCCAGAACGGAAATGCCTATGAAAAGCTGGCTAGCATGGATGACGATCTGGAGGAGGGCGAGATCGACGACCTTGACGATGGCGACGAGAACCCCGACGAACGTTGGACTATCCGCAAGTGCTCCGCCGCTGCCCTCGACGTCTTTGCGCGTGACTTTTCCGACCCTGTCTTCACTGCGATCCTGCCCTACCTGACGAGCAACCTCAAGCATGAGGAATGGCAGTACAGAGAGGCCGCTGTCCTGGCCCTCGGCGCAGTCGCCGAGGGAACCATCAATGCCGTTACCCCCCACCTGCCGGAGCTTGTACCCTACCTCCTCTCACTCCTCGGAGACAACGAGCCCATCGTCAGGCAAATTACCTGCTGGACGCTCGGCCGCTACTCACAGTGGGCTGCGAACCTCGATCAGAACCAAAAGGTCACTTACTTCGAGCCCATGATGGAAGGCATCCTCCGCAAGATGCTCGACAAGAACAAGAAGGTCCAGGAAGCTGCGGCGTCCGCTTTCGCCAACCTCGAAGAGAAGTCCGGCAAGGTTCTCGAGCCCTACTGCATCCCTATTCTGCAGCAGTTCGTCCAGTGTTTTGCCCGGTACAAGGACAGAAACATGTATATCTTGTACGACTGCGTCCAAACCTTGGCGGAGAATATTGGTCCCGTTATTGCTCAGCCGGACGCTATGGGCCTCCTGATGCCTGCCTTGATTGAACGCTACCAAAAGGTCAGCGACGACTCGCGTGAGCTCTTCCCTCTGCTAGAGTGCCTCTCTTACGTCGCCATGGCGCTGGGCTCGGCCTTCACCCCTTATGCGCAGCCCATCTTCGTAAGATGCGTCAACATTATCCACACAAACCTCGAGCAAAGTTTGCAGGCTACCAACAACCCAACGCTCGACTCCCCAGACAAGGACTTTCTCGTCACGAGTCTCGACCTATTGAGTGCTATCATCCAGTCTCTTGATGAGGACAAGAAGCAGGAGCTGGTCAGAGGCTCAGAGGGAACGTATTTCGAGCTTCTCGGCTTCTGTCTCGAGGATCCTCAGGACGATGTCCGGCAATCAGCTTACGCCCTGCTGGGAGACTGCGCGAAATACGTTTTCCCTCAGCTTGAGAAGCATCTGAACTCTATTTTCCCCATCTTGCTGAAGCAGCTGGACCTCGACAACATTCTCGACGAGGAGATTGACAGCGGCTTTAGCGTTGTCAACAATGCATGCTGGTCCGCTGGCGAGATCGTCATGGTCAACAGCAAGGCAATCTCTCCTTTCGTCCCGGAACTTCTGCAGCGCTTGGTCGAGATCATTTCGAACCCTGGTGTACAAAACGCAGTCAATGAGAACGCAGCTATTGCTCTCGGCCGCCTTGGTCTTCACAACTCTGAAGCCCTCGCCCCTCTACTGCCGACCTTTGCCGAGGACTTCCTCTCAGCTATGGAGCACGTCGAGTTCCTGGAAGAGAAGGCCACTGCCTTCAAAGGCTTTACCCTGGTCGTTGGACAGAACCCCCAAGCTATGGAGAAGGCGCTTCCCCAGCTCTTCGTTGCCATTGCAAGGTACAAGGAGATTAATATGAGGAGCCCAATCAAGGCCGAACTGCACGAGCACTTCCAGAAGGTCAGCATCACCATCCATCCCACGCGCAGCGATATCTACTTACATAGCCTAGGTTATAAACATGTACCGGGAAATGATTCCTCAGTTCAACGACTTTGTGAACCAAATGCGGCCCGAGGATCAGGGTAAACTTCGCCAGTACTACTCTGCATGATTAGGGCACGTGGACGCTTGAGAGTTTGCGTATGAAGACGACGTTGAACACGAAGAAAAAGGGCCCAGTTTCGAGCGATCTTTCATGATATGACTTGGGGAGGAAAATACCACCGAGGCGTCCTTTACAAATGAGTAACGACGATGCCTTTTGGGAGAAAGAGCAGAGGAGAGGAAGACACATATCAAGGAAGCAAAAACGGCTTGTAATTGGGTCGCAAGAGACGATCGAGTTGAAAGAAAGAATCCGACGGAGTTGCGACGTGAAACAAACACACCTGGCAATCAGCTTTTCTCTGCGACACAAGTGATCGGGGGCAGCTGAGACGGATCGTTTTTCTTTTTTTTCTTTTTCACACAGCATACCGACGGAGCCAGCATCATGTGACGGGGTGTTTAGGGGCAGAGCAGCTTGGAGATGAGACGCTCTTCTTTTTTTTTCTTGGTACACGAGCTATTTGCTTTGTGGCTCGTGGTGGAAGGGTCAAAGTAATGGGACACATTCGGTGACTGGGCGCCTTTCAATCAAGCGCCTGGGAACCGGACAAACTTCAAAGCTTGCTGGGAGCCATTGTGTTCCCGAGGCAATATTTGGAGTGAACCAACACTCAGAGAGAAGGTTGGAGGTTGAACACAACACAACCCGTGCGCAACAGAACAAAACACACGGCCGCCGGTATTGAAATGGGAAGCGAAGGCGTCATGATGCATGCAAAAGACACACCAAAATGGGGCTTTAACCGTCGTAGATAGGTAGATAGGGTAGATAGCTTTAGCATAGGGTTTTGTTACAACGCCAGCTGTCCCCGAGTGGGCGCCGCGCGATATGGAGTTTTGGTATCTTCAGGTGTTGCGAGAGACTATGGTGATTCATGTGGTATTATTGATTATGCGTGAATGCTCTCAGCTACAAATGCCGGTACGCTGGTGGCCAGGGGCGTGGGCTGACTGTTAAGATGTGTATTGCTGTGTGCTTCGGCCTTATGGAAAGACGCGCAGAAGTCGAACTTGGTTCGATAGGGGTTCGGCGTTGATAAGAGCTTGAGTATTACTATGGGACTCCAAGTATGCAATCCACAGGCTGATCCCAGTTTTGACGGCGGGAGGGGGGGTAAAAGGCGTCTATAACAGCAGTCTGGGATCGTTGCGCCTTCATCCAGCACTGAAACCCGAGAATCGAGGATGGAGATTTCAATGTTACGTTGAGCCCGAATACAAAAGTCGCGACCATCCTCCATGTTTTATGCTTCGATCGCGCAAGCCACGGAGCGAGAGGTCACCACACCCTCTTCGTCGGTGCTGGTTTCCCGGGTATTCCTTCATGGTTACTGTCGGGCCGGCGATTAGTACTGGGAGACTGAGGTTTGAAGATAGACGAATGAAGCTAAATGAAGAGGAACGCATCTATATCCCCCCGTCGGCCAGCATAGAACACCTCACTCTGCGCAAATGTATTGAGGCACGTCGCGCACTGGCATGTCCTCTTCGCCATCGAATCAGGCGATGTGCGAAACCTGATCTCTCTCCCTCCCGAGGATGCGATCGAGCTTTTTAAGGCCGATCATGAGGAAGAGGGTTCAGCAAAGGGTATATGACATATGTTGAGATTCTCGCTTTTGAAGACAGAAAGACAAGATCCCCTGCTCCCATGGCATACTCTCGCCAGTGAATCCATTCAAAAATTTGTAGTACTCTTGTTAGTGCCGTGCGCTATAACTTCTGTTTTGTCGGAAGATAAGTATTAAAATGGCCAGAGTTTATGATGGCGAGGACAACTCGCTCGTCGGCATCAAGCAGCTGCCAAGAAGACCCAACTGGCGCATGGCTAACACATACAGCGCTGCGATGGGCTTGAGAGAACCATGTCCGCCTTCACTCTCTATCTCTACACATACTTGACATATCATGCTAGGAATCACTTCACACCTGGTTCAGTGTGTCAACGCAACGCAACTGCCCCGTTTCTATTCACAGGCCTGAGACTGAGAAGGCCCGGTAAATGAAAAGAGCGAGAGAAGTATCGGTGACGCTTGGCAGGCCACAGTGACAAACTCAGCACATTTGAGGTATGGAGGTCTATAAGTCTGTTCTGAGGCATCATCACAAATGGTAAATCAGCGGACTCTCTCAGGGGCCTATATCGCAAAAGGATAAGTCAACTCAGCATATGGTTACGCGCAAACAATGGCTGATCAGCAGACCCCTGAGGCCATGCCCTTTCCTCATTTAACAGAACCCCTATCTCGAGGAGCGTCACCAGGAGTTAATCAACAGTACCATCCACTCCGAGTGATAGGCTTATCAAACAAAAGTATTGGAGCAGCATTGATCATTCGCTTCCTGTTCAAGTGAAAATCGCCTCCCCCTTGCAAGTATGCCCAGCCAGACCCAAGCTTCTAGCCAAATGTAGACGGCCCTATCGGATCGAAGACAAGCGGGCACGAAGAGGCCATCGCCCGACGTGGTCCATAATCTAGAGGTCTATAGGGGTGCCCAACTCTCATGACTACGGAGTACCGCCCGGAGAAAACATGCCTAATCGGTCGAACCACCTGCTCATTTCCTAGTGGAAACACTTGGAACGGTTAGTGGACTCCGAGGAGTTGAGGTGAAAAGGACAGCAACCGAAGAGCTTACGATAAACTCAGACCAGCAATCTTAGAAAGACGAGATACTTCCAAATTTGAAGACTTTCAATGGCCGAGCCTTGGCCATATCGATGACTCTCTGCTACCTGGAATGCATGGTTCTCCAGCCTAGCCAGCCAATACATCAAAATAGCCATCCTAACCCCCTTCTATACGGCCGTTGCATGTCTAGCATCATCACCGCCGTTATCATCATGCAGTAATCTCCAGCCTCGTACTCCGTACTCCGAACATCACTCGCCATCAACCATGATCCACCATCCCTCATTAACCCGCCCGTGCCGTCAAATCCCGCCCAAACCGACAGGGACGCAAAAACCGCATCTAGTCCCCCTTCAGCTGGGCCTCGCCTCGCCTCGCTTCGCCTTACTTTGTCAGGTCACTTCTTGGCCGATCATATGCAATTCTCCGCCTCTTACCAACTAACTAAACAAGCAGCCAGTCAAACCAGCAAAACTAGCCATTCATATCCCGTACATACAATACATAGTCACATAGTACATCAAACCCCTGGGACGTCTAACCTTGTCCCCCCCAACCAACCATTCTCAAACCGTCCCGGTTCCCCCCATCGAGACAGAGTCAGAAGGAATAAGCAACGAGGCAATCAAGCAGGCACGCAAAGAGCTCCGGGTAGAAACACTACACGAACATGGGAATCTATAACCCAGACGACGATCCCCCCCCCCTCTCTAACCAACCCAAAGAAGCTCACATTCTGGTCCTTATTCAGCCCGCACAACTGCAGGGAGGGGGAACCAGCTTCCCTTCCCCAGAATGCATGGCAAGCGTCGGAATACGGATTACACTTTTCGCATTCGATTTCCTAAACCGGACAAGAAATAGTACATGAATAGGAGAGAGACGCAAGGGCAAAAAAAAAAAAAAAACAACGTTGAGAGGTAATTACAGATAGTAATTACAGATAAACATTCGGTTCCGACGGCGCTGGAAAAGAAGAAGAAAAAAATGCAATGGAACAACACTACCGCAAGGTAAACTTCAACGCCAACGAAACGCTAGACCTCGTCAACACGAAAAGCAAATATCTTGCCCCCCCGGTCATTCGCGCATTCGCCTCCCCAACCTCCCCCCGCGCGTCGTCGGCCGTAACATATCATAATTTCAACTAGATCGATCCGGCACAGTTCCAAACGGTTTCAAGCACACCTACGAGAGGCACGCACCCCCACCCCCCCCCCCCTCCCTGTCGGGCTTCTTCTGGCCTGCTTCGTGAAAAAAAAGGGAAAAGAAAACCAGTCGCAACAGACTACTCACTCCCAGCTACCTGGATCTTGCCTCGATCCAGCTAGTGACATGTGATAAATCCAAGAGTTGATATTGAACATTGAGAGAGGCTGAGAGCGACAGAGAGATGGGGTATGTGTGTGTCACATTGCAAAGAGGACCCAAAAGTAATACGCGTCGTCAAACTGGTTTGTATATTTCTTCCACGCACCGAAACAGGCCCAATCCCCCCCCTCGCTCAATGAAGAGGGGGGCGGCAGCAGCGCAAGTCTGCAAAAGCTAGAGCTAACCCTTGTGAAAACCTCATTACAGAAAATCCCGACGCTTTCAAAACAGCATCTCCTTCTTCTCTCTCCAATGGGAGAAGGGAGTAGTAAAAACTCATTAAATCCAAAACTCTTTTGTCCTCGGTTTGCAGCAAAAAAAAGTCCGGCGAGAGGCAAGCCTTCGTCGCGGTACGTCAAATAAAAATCAAAAGATCAATAAGCAAAACACGTGTAAACTCCGCCCAATGCAGTTTGGAGGTTCTCGAGCCCATCCATCCAAGTGTTTCCCTTGTGTTGTTGTGTTGTTGAACTCCTTTGTAACGCCGAGTGTGAGTTGTGCGCGTGGTGTGTTTTGCATCAAACACGAAAACAAATCGCTATGCAAGTTTGGATTGTAAGGTGCCATTGTAATCCGTAAGGAGTGTGGGTGGGTAAATCTTTCTTTCTTTCCCGTCTCTCTATAATTCGAGATGCTTTTTCTTCTGTTGTCGTGAAGTCATAAAAAGGAGTGTGATGCACTGGGTATCGTCCGATATGCCGGTGAGAGTAGGGAACGTCTATGGTTGTTTGTGGTGGATCGGGGGTATCATCTTCGATAATTAAGGAAGGAGTGTCGTCGTAGATTAATGGTGAGGCACTTGTCGCCGTAGAGGTCGTATGTGGTTAGTTGATTGGTTTAAAAAAAAAAAAGGATAGTCGTGGTAATGCGGCGGCGGCTGGCGCCCCCGGATCAACCGGTTGATCTCTGGAAAGGAGTGTGTAGTATACATTGGCGTAATTGTGTCGATGCAGCAGGTATTATTAAAGGGTGTTTCGAAATCAAAGGGGGTCCCAAACGATGGTGATGAAAAAGAACTTGAAGCTGGTGGAGATATGGAAGCAGGGAGCAGGCAGAGAAAAGCCTATGTCTCGCGCTCCTTGCCCTTCTCGCTGTTGAACTGGAAGGTCGGTGTCGATGGCACGCGCTGTTGGTTGCGCGGTGGGAAGGGTGCGCTGACCGACATGGGAGAATCGCCCGTGACGGAGACGGAGGAGGACGGTGTGTGCCGGTGACGTGGGAGAGGCATGCCGCGAGGAACTGGTGACTCGGGAAGGGGGAGCATGCCGAAGAGTTCGGGGTGGAGGAACGGGGATGGGGGCAACGTGTTGAGCGAAGATGAAGCCAAGACGTTGGAATCCTCCGGTGGCGGGTAGGTAGGGGTGGTGGGCATCCTGAGCGGCGGTCAATCCGGCATTCTTTCCAAGCGACAATTGTATTTGAGCCGTAGTGGTTATCGAGGGTGCCATGGAGGGGAGGGCAGGGCCTTTCTAGATCCACACGGGCTGCTGGGTGGTGGGAGAGACGAACCCGACGCCAAAGTTGTGGGAACCGCCGACGATGGGGGTAGGCACGCCGCTCATGTCATAGCTCTCGTACGAGCCGTACTCCTCGTTGTCACTGTACGCAACGGAGCCCTCAAATGTCGAAGATGCCGGGCTGTAGCCGCCGTAGTTGGGGCTGGGGATGTTGAGGTACTGCGAGTTGACGTACGGGGACGACAACACCAGGGGGGAGACGTTGCTGGGGGGCGCCGACTCGGCATTGAGCATCTGCAGGGACTCGGCACTGTAGCTGAAGGCAGGGTTGTGACCATATGGCAGATACGAGTCGCTAACGGGAGGCAGGGGAACCGGCTCGTTCATGTAGAAGTTGGGAGGGTTGAACTGCGGGAACGAGGGCGTTCTCGCGGGCTGGATCCAACCCATCCTCGAGCGGAACTCGTTGACCGTGTCAATGGGGAACTCCATGAGTGTCAGGGGGGTCTGCAGGTCACCGTCGTGGTTGGCCGAGATGTTGATGGAAAGGAGGCGGCGGGCGATTTCCTCGACGGGCCCAATGGACAAGCTGCCAAAGTAGGCGGCGCCAATCTCAGTGAACAGACGCTCCATAATCAGGGCCACCGTGTAGTAGTAGGCAATGATGATGAGTGCGCTGGGCGACCCGCCCGTCTGCTTGAGGTACATGACCGGCAGCCAGAAGAGCCACGTCCGCAGGGGACGAAGGCGCTCAAACTGCTGGGAGACGGATAGCGTGGGGCTGACCTTGCGGGCGCCCTTGAGGAAGCTGATCAACTGCTGGATTGACTTGGTGTCCTCCTTGTTGTGCTTGAGGTGGGCCTCGACCTTTTGGAGCTGGCTCAGGGTGCGATTGAAGGCGTCAATGTCTTCCTTGCGTGGCTGGCTCGGCTTGTGATCCGGACTGGGAGAGGCGGGAGCGGTTGGGAATGTGCAGCTCTCGGCGATGAAGTCGCCAAATTGGGACTCGTGCTTCCAGGAGTCCATGGCCTCAATGACCTAGAGTGTACGAGTTAGCAGTTGCCCTCGGACCAGGCGGCTTCCTGTGTACAACATACCGATGAGGTTCCTTGCATGAGCTGGGTCCAGCTTCGCCTGCAATTTTTGCGTTAGCGCATGTACAACATAGCGGATGGTTGCTGCGAGTTGCCTACCAATCTGTGGCTTGCCACGACAGAACAAGAGATGCTGCCAAGACGGCATCCGACGTCTCGCGGTTGAACATGCCAATAGCCTCCTGCAGACCCTTGAGGGCGACGCCGCGGTGCTCGTATGCCATGTTGCCCACCAAGGGGCAGTCGGTCAAGAAGGCAATATGCGTGGCTGAGAAGGCCAAAAGCGCGTGCATGACATAGGCGTTCGTCGCTCCAATCTTGATGATGCTAGTTTGGGTCAATATGGCTCGGAATCGAGTAGGCCGTTTCTCACTTACGTGGGGATATGGCGTGTCCAGAGGGTGAAGCCGTTAGCATCAAAGGTAGACAACTCATTGCAGATGGATGCTACGTGGTAGATCAACCTGAGATCCTCAACAGACAAGTACTGGGGATTCGGTGCCGGGTAAATGCCGAGAGACAGGAACGGGAACTGTCCTGTCTGTTGCCACTGCGAGATTTCTGCCTCGATTTCGGGAGTCCACATGAGGTCGGGCTTGTCGGGCGTTGTTGACCTGTCCTCGGGCATGGGCATGTCGTTGTAGGGGCAGCGAATCTTGTGCTTTGTGCAGTTGCGACTGGCTGTGTTAGTCGGCGGCTCAACAACGAAGCAAGAAGTACACACCATTGGGGAAAGTTCTCGTCGCATCTGATATGACGGCGCTTGCAAGTCTCACAGCCCTTGCGGGACTTGGTGTGACTGCGGCGGGGAGGACCACCACCAGGACCGGCCATTGTAAGCTCGGGGGATGAACTAAACGAAAGAACTGTACGTGTCAGTGCCAAACGAGAGACGAGGAGGCAGGCAAGACGCACATGGAAGTATACACGGGCAGACGACCGTGTATGGATAGCGAGTGGTGGATCGTTACTGGGAAAGCAGCGTAAGGCTTAGTCGCAAGACTAGACTTTAATACTGCGGAAGAGTGTCGATGGACCGGGGCAAGCGATGCAAAGGAGCAAATGCGTCGTTGGATGTGTAAGCGACCGGCAGCAAGTTGGTCAGGCGCTTGGTGTGAGGCGATGTCAGGAAAATTGGTAAAGAAAGCCGCTTTGCTCGATAATCGATTTGGCGGATTCCTCTTACGTCTCTTTCTGTCCTTGGTTCCTTTCTCTTCTCTTCTTCTTCTTTTCCCAGTTCCTGATACTGATAGTGATCGTGGGTGGGCGGGTTCTGAGTTTCCCTAGATTTCCTTTGTAATATATCTATCTCAAGTCCTCTGTTTCCGAAAAAAGCGAGTGTGGTTGATCAGAAGACCGGTATTCAGTAATGGAGCATTTGCTGGTTGTAAGCCGAGTTGTGGGAGACGCGGGGTTGTAAGCTAGCGAGTCCCGGGTGTTGTTGAGGCTGGATACCAGGGTATTTGGCGATGGATGCTTCGAGTCTGCTGGGGGGGTGGACTGGGCGCGGTTTTGGAGGGTTTGGATTTCCTTTCCTTGTCTTTTGGTGTGTTCTGCTTTGTTTCTCTTCCAAAGGATCTTGTTGGGAGAGAAAATAATTGAAACAAGAGGGCGGGAGGAGGTTGGCTTCGAGGAGGGATGGATTTGAGATTTTGGCGGAAAAAGAAAAACACAAGAACGCGAAAGCGAATGACAGGAGTCAACGAGGACTTCCTAAGAGTAGAGTTAGGAAAAAGCGAATGTGGTTGAGGACAGCGCGAGCAGCTCAACGAGGCTGATGAGGTTTGATGTTTGATGTAGGCTGAGAGGAGGGGAGACAGGAAAAGGCGGTGGTAGATGGGCCGGGGACAGATACAGTTAAATAATGGCACCTCACCTCTCACGTCCCCAAGAGGAGAGAGAGACAGTGGCCGCAGCAGGCACAGCACACACACACACATGGACGTACACCACTCACACACAGGCTCAGTCTGGCTTTGGCTCAGGAAGAGGGCGGCACACACAGTTGAGAGAAGTGCCACACCAGATCCGACCTAATCGGGACAAGGTATGACCACCGGGTGGGAATAACGGGGCATGACCTGTGAGCAAGGGCAGAGGAAAAGCAAAGAGAAAAACAGCTGTGCTGTGCAGGTTGCTGCAGCTGTGCTCCTCCGTCTGGCGGGGGTGTGTGTGTGTGTGTGTGTGTGTGTGTGTGTGTGTGTGGATGTGGATGAGATGTCCAGGTGCGCAGACCCCAGGCGTAGGTGCGGGTGCAAGGTACAGGGCTGTGAGAGGAGAGAGAGAGAGAGAGTGGATGGGACAGGGACATGTGTGGACTATGGAGGGGAGGGGCCGTCCGTGCTGGGATCGTTGCTGGGACTAGGCAGTGAGAAATCCGTACGTACCGGGTCATTAACTCTCTCTCAGCGATGTGCGAGATGTATCTATGTATGTGTGCGTGTAGGGTAGTGTGTGTGGGTGTATTCGTGCACTATGTCGTTGCTCTCTTCAACTGCGAATGCCTTTCCAAAGTTGACAGAGAGACCAAGGGAGTGAGTGTCTCAGTAATGACAGATCCAGCAGGTTCTGGATCCGAGAAACAGGGTTTCCGCGGATTCTGACACAGTCGTCCGCGGCTGGGGTTAAGCCTGTTGGACAGAGAGGCTTGGAGTGTGTCGGTGAGGACTGGTGCGTCGCGGAGCTTATTCTTATTCTTCCTCCTCCCCGTACCGTTGTCGTCCGTCCGTAGGGGGGCAGGAGTGAATCGCGATGCCCTGTTGAGATAGGTAGGAAGGGATGGGATGGATTGGGATGAGATGGGACTCTAAGATGGGAAGGGGGATAAGAGCAGGGATCCTGGCTATGGTCAGCCAAAGAGGTGAGGTGAGGGATGGTAAGGATTGGCTGTATGTCCGTACACAAGGTAACGCAGGCGTGTGCATGTACTTTAATGCATGGGGAGACTGGGGGTGAAGAGGAGAGAATGAGAATGTTAAATGTAAAAGAATAGTTATTTCTCATCGAGGATGGGACGACTACAAAAAGAATCCGGCAAGGCGGTAGAAGATGAGTAAGTACTGAACAAATGGGGGTGAAGATGAATGAGAGGAGCATACACAGTAGGAGAGATAATGGGTCGAAGTCGCCGCCGGCATGGATGAATGGGGTACTAACTAAGAGACTCCTTGTCATGTCTGGTGAGCTTGATGTCAACGGCCATCATCATGTCTCGATGTTCGGGCGCGTATTGACACGGGACCCGAGCAGCTTGCCCCAGCATCCGGTAGTCGTAGTGTAAGGTAAGGCATCCGTAGTCTGGGATTCTCTTAGGCGAGCAGACGCTCGGCGCTATTCCGCGTCTACCGTGTCTATCAACGTCGGTATCTGTCAAAGACGGCCGTAGTAGGGTCGTAGTGTCGAGTGTAAAGACATGACTACGCCCGAAATGTTAGTTTTGTGCTGTACTGGGCAATGTGCTGTTTGTCCATCGCACCGCCAATCTCCCCGTTCACCCGCCAAAAGTCGACCCAAAAAAGAGCCAAAATTAAAAATAACCCTGGGCCCCTCCTCCCGTGGGTGAGCCGGCTTCTTGGGCCCCAACCAAAGGCGGCGGCGATTCTCACTGGCAAAAAAAAAAACTAAAAAAAAAAAAAAAACTAACGCAGAGCGAGGGAGAGAGACCGGGGGCCAGGGCGAAAGAAGCCACTCACTGGGGGCCACCAGTGGGAGTGACCGAGAGGTGAAAACAAGCGGTGGGGTTAAGTCTATCCAAGAGAAGACAGATGATTGACCGACCTGGTCGAGGGGCGGGTGAGTAAGTGAGCGGGAGCGAGAGAGAGAGTGAGAGAAAGAGGGGGGTAGGTGACAGAAACTGAGTGAAAAAGAGTGTGTGTGCATGTTAGTGAGCGAGTGAGTGACTGACTGACTTTGGCCCTCACCTCACCCTCTCGAGACTTTCTCTCCCCACGCCTGTGTGCTGATGATGATTCTAGTCCATAATGGGGCTGAACAGCTGTGGGAATCGTCGTCTGCGGCACGCTCACATCTTGTCCATGCCGAATTCCCACCTCCTTTCGCACCTCTCTCCCTCTAAGCAACCCGCACTCCCCCTCCATACCGAACCGACCACTGGGAGACGGCCCTTGGGTTTGCTGCGCCTCAAGCTGCTGCTTCCGCTTTGCTTCGCTTTTGCTTTCACATCCCAAAGTTCGCCGACGGAAACATGCTCTCCAGCGCTAGCAGACAAGCCCGCACCATCTCCCCATCTGGCGACTTTCTAGCGTGTTCCTCTGCTATGCCCTTCCAAGTTAGCCATCCGCTGTGCTGTGTGGCTGGTTTCTCCTCGGGCACTGGCACAGGGCCCCGTTGCCTCTGTTACCTTCGCCTCCCTGACGCCGTCGCAGGCTGCTGCTGTTGGTGATTCTGCCGCTGGTCTCACTCTCGCGGCTGCTTTCGCTGCTTGTCTCCTTTGGGGATGGCTTCGTTACCTTTGCTGTCCCTGTTACCGGCCCATCATCGCATCACTGCATCAGCGCCGCTGATGCCATGCCATGCCATACTGTTCCATCACCGCTCCGTATAGCCTCTCTATTTTCGATGCTCGCTTGACTGGACCTCGCGACCACCGGCCGAGAAGCTGTATGAGCCTCAGAGGTCAGAGAATAGGGGCAGGGGCCAATCTTGTCCCGATCCAGTCCAATGACACGCTGCGGGCAAGGTGTCGGCAGGGAGCTAGTCAACACGATGGAGGCGAAGCAATCGCCAGTCAGCGAGTACTGCATCGCTGCTTGTCTGTGCCAGCGTCTGTGCCGGTGACTCTTTGCGACGCTGCCGGGCCAGTCATGGGCGATATCCCCCAACCCAACTCAATTCATCCCATCCCATCTTTCGGTCTCTCATCCTCTTTACCCTCATGCTCATGCAAACATGCTCGTGCAACGCGCCCACTCAGCCGATGACAGAGCACCGCTCACCGTCCAGTCCCAAACAACCACTTGGTTCAGCTTCATGCGAGCTTGGCCCTCCCTGTGCCCTTCATTTTTTTTCGTGACACCATTCAGCAAGAAATCTAGGCACTGTCGATGTTCGGGCAGAAGTCAAAGTGGCCCGTCAGACCGGAGCTCGGGCGGCAAGCAGTATCCGCTCCTTTTTTCGTCCATCCCAACTATAGACTCTGAGATGAAGACGAAAACAGAGTCAAGGGGCAGACAGGCTCGGAGATCCAGGACATCATCTCCATAGCCAGCAGAAGCTTCATGTTTGGGTCTTGCGGATGGAAACCGCTTCGTAGGCCCCATCCATACTGGGCCTCTTTGCCAAGCTGTGATCAAGGTCATCTCTTGGCTTGGTAGTTCACCGTCGCCCAGCTGGCAGACTCAGGTGACTTAGGTAATAGCGTCGAGAACTGAATTGCGGGACCTATAGCATGAGAATAGCAGGCGGCGAGCGTAGACAAATTGAGTTGAGCACCGCCCAGAGTAACAATCCATTGCCCTCGGCATTCGCCATTTGAGCTTGCATGGTCTGCATCTGACTAGTCTTCTCCGGGGCTGAGAGGGTGCTCAAGAGTAGTGATGTATTCGGTCAGAGCCCGATTAGGAGGCCAACATCGTCAGGTGGACTCAACTTGCCTGCCTTTCTACGGCCCCGGGTGTGGTGACATACAGTACCGTCCGTCGCCAGAACCCTACACAAAGGTCCCGTCACCTTGGCCCATGGCAGCATAGCATGGCTGCAGTGGAAGCGGTTCTCTCCGTGTGTGCGCCCACAGCGAGTGGCTCTCTCCATTCTCAACGACACCCGATGCCCATTTGTTGTACCTACCGCCTGCCCTATGGCCCCAATCGAGTGGCTCTAGCACTGGGTCCAACAAATAGCCTCCGCGGGCATGGGTGTATTGCTGGCGACGTGCCTGTATCTGCATCGCCAATTTTCATACAGTTTTTCCCGCCTGGCTCTTGCGTGGTCTTTCGATCCCCTGGGAACAGGAACTTCTGCGTTCCGGAGTTGCACACGCAATCGTCCCAAGTCAGATGACGAGTGCGTCTCTGCCACCATCGTCTCGACATCTCTGGAAGCTGACATTGCCGCGGCGAGAACTGTCCAAAAAGCTGGAGAGTTCGACTCCCATCATGCCACAACCTTGGAGGATGAGAAGCGCGAACTCTCAGCTACAGCCCCGCCCTGGTCCTGGTGTATCGAGGAAGAGTGTCCTTGTATCGTTTCCCATCCCGACCGGAAAAGGAAGGACCCTGTTCCCATCTCTAGTCGACTAGAACGACTGGCGAACGTTATGCGGTCATGGATCATGGGCATCCGTGCGTACTTCCCCCTTGGGCTCCCCATCACCCATGCGGACCTTGCCCCGTGGTATGCTATGCCGAAAGAAGCGCCAGCGCGATGCGGCGACGACGAGAATGAAGGTGCCCAGCTAGTGCACACCGTCCTGAAGAGAATAGCCAAGGAACATCAGGCGAGGTAAAAGTTCTCCTAGCCCAAGCTACAACTCTCCGCGACGCCAGAAGTGGTCTAGGAGATAATACCAGGTAGCATCAGCCAGAGAGACCTGACGGCCATTCAAGACATGGTTTCAAGCCTGTGCCGTCGCGTCCGAGCTTTCGAACCACAGCACTCACACAAGTTCCCTACCAGGACCTGGGTCGATGCCGTGACAGGGGCTTGATGGGCAAACTCCAACTATACCCACTGTCCACTATGGTATGGATCTGCTGCTGCCGCTGCCAAAACAAACCATCAAAAGTGCTTGGTGATTTGTGCTTTTCTGGTGAAGCAACGACACGGCGTCCAAACCATCTCGGTGCGACGTTTGGGGGCCTGTGTTCTGCCTTGTGTTATTTCTCCGACTCGCGTGTCCATCGATCCCTTGAGGTTGTCCCCTGTCTATGGCCAGAGTCCCTGCCGAGTCTGAGAAACAGTCCATGATCCCATTCTCGTCTCTGGAGGCTGACATTGTGCCCCTCGGCTGTGTCCCGATACACTTCAGACGACTGCCGGAGTCAACCAGATGTCAAATCATGAAGGCGAATCGGGCAGATCCTGGGACTAAGGTTTGAGGTTGTTGCTGTTATGTCATATCTGCTGGACCTCTCCGCCCGGAGCACTACGGCCAAGGGCTTGGAGAGGAGCGTGGAAGAGTTTTTGAAATGGAGGTCCGAGAAGAAAAAAAAAAAGTACCACGATCATTTCCCCGCTCTACTTCGGCGTCCAGCTTCACATCGGTGGGTTCGCTAGCGTAGCTTGCCTTGATGCTTGGTATCCGTTCCGTACTTCGTAGTGTAGGCGGGTGCATCGCGCGCAGCGAGTCAGAGTGAGAGGGCGGTGGAGAAGACTAATTCAAAGACAAAAAAACGTTAATTCGATCCCCCTTCCTCGGCAAGAACAAGACGTGATGCTTTGGAGCTCCGTCTCAAATAGAATGAATCTCCTTGGGGGATCTCTGTCTCCCGAGGTCTCGTCGCATTTCCTCCGAAGCCTTCTCAACCTGCCCCCATCAATATCTGCTCCGCCGCGCTGGGGTTGAGCGCGGGTTGCTTCTATCCAGGGTCTCCATCTCTGCTCTTGTCTCTTGTCGTTGTTTGAACATGCCTTTACCAATCTGCAAGGGGCTGGGAGATCGGAGTTGCAGGGCGTCTTTCTGGTTCTGGTTGGCTGAAACAGCAGTTTCTCGTGTCCATTTTTGGCGTGCGCTGCTAGGGTATTTGACCCATGCTCTGGTTTTCCAGCCCTGGAATGAGAAACATGAACGGGGCGCTCGTCATAAACAGCTTTCCCGAATTGTCAACGAGATCTCAGATAGTCATCGCAAACCACGAGGCACCTGGTGTCACCACTTAGCGCAGCCAGCAACAAATCGTCAACCTGTCTGTCTATGCCGGCCCTCGGGGGTGTGACGCTCATGTGGTGGCGGTGACTGGTCCCAACGTCGTCCAGCAAGTCAGCTTTCACACAGGCCGACGAGTGCGCGCGCGCGTCAAGGGTCGCCCGTCTCTGGCCGGGTCCGCGTGAGGTCCGCTTCTTTGTGCCTGACCGCCCCGTGTGGCTCTCCTGTCAACCCTGTCAAACTGTCAGGGATGTCCTTTCATGACACAAGACACGCCAGGACCAGCACACCAAACATTGAGATGGAGTCTGTCATTTGTTAACCAGCAGCGGTGTGAAGCAGCAGCGAGATAATCTTCCGAAGAGACATCACGAGTGGGTTTGGCCTTGCTGGGCGGGATGTTGGAGTCTTGGAGATGGGGGCGCTATCTCCTGGGGTCCAAGGAACCGAGGTAAATGAGAGGGAGGGAGCTTCCAGTCGTCGGAGGCAGGTCGGAGGGCGGCCGCCAGACGTGACCTCCCAACCGTCCGAAGTATCGATGCAGGAAATGCAGGAACAAGAAGCGTACGAGGCCTTGGAGGTCGGCGGTGCAGGAGAGTCGAAAGAAACCTGCTTCATTTTGACATCAACTTACGCTTCTCGGCCCGTCTGCGTAATTCGGTCCATACGGTGATGTGAGCGTCAGCGAGCCTCTGACAACATAAGCACCACATCATGGCACTTTTTTTTTTCTACTCCCCGCCGACGACCGAAGTTACTGTGTGTCTCAGTCGATTGGCCGGCGAACAATGACCTGCGGCCTGAGGCTCTGAAATGGTGTCCTCCTCCCAATATCCATGCAGAAGCATGGTTGAGGGCATCTGGATCTTGCCGTATTCGGCAAGGCGGGTTTCTATTCTTAAATAACCTTCTTTCACTGTTGTTGCGAGATTTCGGTCAAATTCACACCGCGTGCGTTGGCTTTCGAGTGCTTTGGAGAGACTTCTCGGGTACCGGGGCATTTCAGCTCTCAGGGTCCTTTGGGAAACGGCATTTGCTGATCTGGAGCCACAGTATTCTTTTTTTCTCTCTCATCTGTCTTGTCCATATCCGGCAACGTCAGCAATGTCATGCGTGTGCGTCGTTGGCTGGGGCTGAGAGACGCAACGTTCCATAGTACGCTGGCCGTCTGCCGATGATGCATAGCATTGGGACGGGCGGCACCTCAGCGATCTCACTTGTTAAGTCGCCGACAGGCAGCGATATGGGGCACGCCGTTCGGTTCGTCTCTGGTAGACTCGTTGGTGATCGACATCCGCCGCCGTGTTTGATTTGGGCGCAAAGACGATCCCGCGGTCGGGACGTGTCAAAGTCTCAACTAGAGAGGCCTCTAGGGAGACACGTTGGGTTCGAAATCGGCCCTGCAGATAGCTGATCTGACATGCCCCCACTGCCGCCGTCACGTCGAGATGGTGGGAAATTTCAGACAGCGCGCGGGCACAGCGCGGGCTGATCGCTGTGTGATGGTGAAAACATTGCGGCCGCCAGCTGCCATTGGCTCCTTGACCGACAGGGCAAAAGGAAACCCTGTGCGCATCACCGACCCGCATATGTGAGTTGGACGTTGTGCGAGCCGCGACGGCCGAGCGCGGTGAGTAGACGCATGGGGTGTCCCGGAAGCCTCGAGGCTAGGGAAAGAGATCTGCCTCTCCAACACTGTTCGCGCCATGGCGCCACAGAAAGTGGTGTTTTTTTTTTTTCCCCTCTCTCCCACACATAGTGTTGCCCGCTATATTTCTGTGGCCTCTGAGAATCCACAAGCCCGGCAGCCCGGTGAGACCGTGAGGCTCCCTCAAGATCTGTGGATCGTCAGTCCAACTGCGAATTCGCCACGGAACTAGCGGAGTCTCGGGGCTAGCTTTCGTTCCACCCCGACCCGCCAAGTTTGTCAAGCGCTACTTTGCCAGGAGCCACATAGAGGATGCGTGCTGGTGGCAGAAGACGCTTCAAACCATAGAAGGCTTGCCATCCATAGACTCGATGAACAGGAGGCGGTGAAAAGGACAAGATGCCGAGCTAGTGCCACAATGCAGAGTGCAGTTGCCGTCCGATCAGTGGGTTAGTCGGTGGACGCATACTGGTCAGCCACAGACGCAGAGGCAAAGGTAGAGAGATGCAGCGATGGAGCGGTGCAGAGAGGCAGAAACACAAGAGTTGGACGCATGCAGGCGATGCCAATCAGCAGAGTGGATGACGGTGATTTGTTGATATGGCGCATGACCTCAATTATCCTGGGCCTTCATTCGACCATGGGCTTGGCCAGGGTCTCCAAGCTTTGCTCCGCGTCGAGAACTCTTCGGTGCGGAGAAGATGCGACTCTGCCATGGACTTTTGCTGATGAAGGTAGTTTATCCGCTGCGAGTCCGAGCCGGGGACAGGCATGGGTGACTGGGCGAGCATAACAGCCCTAGGCTCGGGGGTTTCAAACGGGCAGCCATGCTGCCAGATGTCAATCTATGGCGTCTCGTCGGCCGAGTGACTAGCAGATTTTCCTTTGCCCATGATTCTTCTTGCCGGCCGGGTCCTACATGCCCAGGGCCCGTTGCTGTCCACCAGGGGGCTTGAAGACGAGGGTGATGATGACTGATCAGAGCATGGGACGTCGATTCGATGGGGGTTGGATTCTTGGAGAATCTGCAGGCCCGCAGCCCAAGGCCGGAGTGTAGACGAAAGCGTACGGGCAAACGGTACGTACTTGATAGTCTGCATCGGCAGCGAGGCGAAGGATATCATATCATATGGATATGAGTAATTCGCTCAAAGTGATCCGTCCGTCTCCGTCGTGGGTTCACCGTTCGTGGGCGACAGCGGTCATTCTCGTTAATTATCGTTAATTGCTGTAAAATTGTTGGCATTTCTGCTGGGCTTCTGGAAAATGTGCAGGGCCGTCCTTCCCCACCATGCCTTGGACGGCACACCGGGCACAATCGGCAGGGGAGGCGTCGGAGTTCCACCGCTTAGCGGAGCAGAGGAACGTCGAAGGGAGGCCAATAACTGGGGGGGGGGGGGGGGGCGTGCAAGCACCATGAATGGTCGATTCTGATACCAGATGGGGGTTAGCAGGGTGGGAATGGGTGTATGTGAAGAAGCTTGGTGATTGTGATGGATTCATGGGCCAGGCGTGGTTGGCTGGTTGTCGAAAGAGCTGGACATACCGTCTGGACTGTCACTGACGGGAAGTACAGTACGAATACAATGTAGCAGTCTACTATGTTTGTTGTCTGTATCCGCGGGGATACAGCGACAGAGTGAGCCTAACCGACGACAGACCTTGTCATGAAGGCGGATGATGTGCATGTTGACAGGATCCTGTCCGACTGCGCGGTGCCAGACGAGCCACTCTGGTGCGGCATTGTGGATTTTGTCGCCTCAACATTTGTGATTTCCACGGAGAAGGTGAACAGAAGCGAGAGATTGTCGTCGCATGTCGTTCATCCGGCCGCTAGCGTGGGTTCGATTAGAGTAAAGCGAGGCCGAGGAATGCAAAAGTTCATGACCGGAGGCATCCTAGATGATGGAGGGAGAGGAGCCTCAGGAGAGAGAAAGAGAGCATCGAGTGGTTAGACAGCCAAACCACAATCAGAGAAAGTTAGGTAAGAATTGCTTGGAACATGGCCCCATGATGACGTCTTTGCTCCTTCCTGGGCTGAACTTTTACACACCTCAGTACAATACCTAGGTAGGTACTAAAATCGGCAAGCACTTGGAGAATCCAGGGCTCATGTTTACTGGTGGACGCTAGCAGCTAGTCATCGGGGGGAAAGACACACTAGGTAAGAAAAGGCTCGATATCTGGCAACTGTTCGAGCTGTGTTGTCTCGATTGATCGTTGCGCCGAAGCCTTGGCGTTACCCGTCGCGCGGCGTGGCTTCCCGACTTTGTGAGGGGAATTCCAAGGTAACGTATCTTGACTAGCACACCAGCACACCAGCACACCAGGTTCATTGGCTCAATGGTTCAATCTCCTCTTTCAAGCTCAGGCAGGAACTAGGAAGGCATGTCGTCGCTTCTGCTTCTGCTTCCGCTCCTGCTTTCCATAAACAATTCTAAGGTAAGCGCGGCCTAGGTATTCAAACTCCAGACAGAAGGTACGAAGTACGAGCCAAGGTACCTCACCTTACTCTTAGTATTTACCGATGAAAGGCAAGGGCA